AAGTCTCTGTGGGATATCTTTGAGGCCTGAAGCTTGAACTCCTTTTGCTGAAGAGAGGAGCTTAACATTTTTAAGCATGATCCATGCTGTGATGGCTTTTGCAGTTGAATAGTTGGTGTTTTCTTGTACAAAGTAGACTCTAGGTGGCAGCAGATTTTGAGAGAGAGAAAATTCCTGGATTTTGGTACTGTGTGGCAATTTCAGCTGCTCAGTTACTTTATGCTAGACCAGCTGTTTTGATATGTCTCTTTTTTTTATACTCTCTGCTTGGAAAGGTGAATGGTTAAAGCTCATCTTTGAGTCATCCTTGGATGGCAAGCTAAGATGGCCTGTATTAGCACTTGATCTATGTAAAAACAAAGTCATGTTCCATGTAAGGTATTCAGGAGACAGCTCATCCCACACATTTGGTTCTAGCATTTGTTCTGGTTAGTGCCAAATTCAAATTGTCATGATGAGTCCCCAAAAATTTATCTCCCAGTCAATAGTCGTTCTCTGCCTGGGCACATCTCCCTGTAATCCGCGTAGAACTTGCAGTTGTATAGTCAGGTGACTTGTAATTGACATGTTTTTGTCCAGTTATGGTCAGATTGAACATTTTACAAAAGCTACTGATTTTCTTAAAGCTTTAGCTATGAAGAGAGCTTGAACAAACTTGTACAAAAATAAAGTTGCTGGAAAAGCCCAGCAGGTCTGGCAGTATCTGTGAAGGGAAAATCAGAGTTAATGTTTTGGGTCCGGTGACCCTTCCTCCGAACTGATGGTAGCTGGCCCCGAAATGTTAACTCAGATTTTTCTTCACAGGTGATGCCAAACCTGCTGAGCTTTTCCAGCAACTTCTGTTTTTGTTCCTGATTTGCAGCATCTACAGTTCTTTCGGTTTTTATTTAGTATTGAACAAACTTGGTTTGTTTTCATTTGAACACCAAAGGATGAGGTCCAACCTGATAGAGGTTTAAAAAATTCTGAGAGGCAAGGATAGTCGGAGTCTTTTTCCCACGGTAGAAATGTCAATTACTAAGGTATTGAGGTGCTTAAAGTAAAAGGGGGGATGTTTAAAGGAGATGTGAGAGGCAAATCTTTTTACACAGAGGGTGGTAAGTGTCTGAAATGTGCTGCCAAAGGAGGTGGTGGAAGCAGATATAATAGCAACATTTAAGAGGCATCTTGACAGATACATGAATATGCAGGCAATAGATGGATATGACTGAATAGAGGCAAGAGGTTATTAATTTAGCACGGCATCATGTGTCACCACCAAAGGTGGGCCAAAATGCCTGTTTCTGTACTGTTCTTTGTTCTTTTCCTAAAATTTACACTGATATGGCAATACACGAAATGGGATCTACAGCAGAGAATCTGTTTCCATGATATATATGAGCACCAGTGTGTCAGCATTTTAGATAGATGTAATGGATATCTTTTAGCCTCCAAGAGGCAGATCTACTGTGCTAGATCTGGTAGCCGTATGCTTTGCAGTGTCTGTTACCAATATTCAGGACCATGCCACAGGATCTCTAAGTTAATGGCCCACAAATGGTTAAAACAGATGAGTGGTAGGCTGTTCATTAGGGTTTTCAACAATATAAATGTTGCCTGGGATGAAACCAGTCAGAATGAGCAGGCACATTTGGGTTTGTGGCTGTGCTTGGCTTTCTAGTAGATACATACATGACATCTTGGCCACAACAACCGGAAGTCTTCATTACTTACAGGGGTTTGCACTGCCTCAATGTGTAGCTGTTGTGGCATCACAATTGGATATTTATGCAGTTGTGCACAAGATTCCCAGTAGCTGCCATAACAATTTTTGTCCAAGCTCCCTAATTCCTTCACACCTGTAAACAGACCAAGGAAGGGCTGTTGGCAACAAGGGATACCCACTTGAAATTCTACTTGTGCAGTGCATCCCAGATGCTTGCATTTTGCCAGGGATGCCCTCAGTAAAGTTCACCCAGGCTCCACCACTAGACCCTTATGACAAGAAAATGAACAATCTACATAACCTCATCCTGTTCAATTGCCACAAACACAAATAAATCCTCCGATCAACTGATGCACACCGTGAGCATTGACCTGCTTCAAAAGAAAGTTACATATAAACTCATTTGTGTAACTTTTTCAAAAGCCTCAACGTGACAGCTTTATCGACTGTGTTGGTTAGAAATATATAACGTGAATGCTGGGTGGTATCAGAGACATACTAGGGTAAAATTCTTTTTAGGGAACACATGCAAGGTAATAGCAAATTGACAGCACATTCTACAAAACTGGATACAGAGCAAGGCATTAATTTTCTATTGTTCCGCTTTTCCCTAACATCCAGGGAAAATGTTGCCTTATTTTGATCCTCATTTCACACCCTATCAATGTACAATCACCTTAATCCTTTGTAATGTGTTAAATCTTTTCCCAGCATAAGTTCTGAGGAAGGGTCTCTGGACCCGAAACGTTAACTCTCCTTCACAGATGCTGCCAGACCTGCTGAGCTTTTCCAGCAACTTTGGTTTTGTTCTCGAAACGGTTACAATCCTGGAAGGCTGGCCAAAATGAATGAATAAAATTTTGGGTTTCTTTTCCAGGCAATTGGACTAATTTTAAGTCCAAGTATTTTAAAACATTGCCATTCTTGACTATAGAAAGAGGCTTATGAAAATTGTAACTTGTTAAGAGGAATAATGTTTAGCATGTTGTTCTATTCGTCTGTTAGCTTCTGCTTTGCTTGTGATGTAATATCACAAATTTGCAACTTGTTTATTGTAAAGAATGTTAAATTCCAGGAAGATCATGAAAAAATTTATTTGTATTTATCCAACAAAGATGCAAAGTGTACATTCAGTAAAGGGTCTAGTGGCATGATGGTAATACCCCCCGCTCTAAGACAGAATAGCTGGGTTCAAATCTCATTTGCCATGGAGGTGTGTCATATGTGTTTAAAATTCATTAATTTTTCTCACAGTTGAGCACTAAATGTTAAGTGATTTATACTTTAGGTGCTGAAGAGTTGTTCATGATGGGATCCTAAGTTGCAACTATGATTAACCCACATTTAAGATGCTACTTGTTAAAACAGTTACCTGAGGCTAATTAAATAGCTGGCTGTCGTTAAAAAATGACTGTGAATACTAATTAAAGAAGTTGCATTGTGTTTGTAAGCTAATCCATCAACTAATGCCTTCTCCTAATAGCAACTCGCTATTGGGGAAAAAAAAATCATGTTTATCTCAAATTCCTTGCTCTATTTAAAAAGATACTCACCATTTCATTTAAAAACAAAATACTACAGGTGCTGAAGATCTGAAAGAAAAACAGAATGCTGGAGAAACTCTGCAGGTCTGGCAGCAGCTGTGAAGAGAGAAACAGAGTTAATGTTTTGAGTCTAGCACTGCTACTTCACAGAACCAGGGACCCAAGTTCGATTCCAGCTCCAGCTGACTGTCTATGTGGAGTTTGCACATTCTCTATGTCTTCATGGGATTCCTCCTGGTGCTCCAGTTTCCTCCCACAGTCCAAAGTTGTGCAGCTTAGGATGATTGGCTATGCTAAATTGCCCATAGTGTTCAGGGATGCACAAGTTAGGTGGATTGGCCATGGGAAATGCAGAGGTGCAGTGATAGGGTAGGATGAATTAGTGTGGGTAGGATGATCTTTGGAGGATTGGAGTAGACTCAACAGGCTGAATGGCCTGCTTCCACACCCTAAGGATTCTATGATTCTACGATTCTATGACTCTTCTGCACTGTAACAGAAGCGTTACAGTACAGAAAATGACTATACATCCTATCTTGTCTGCACTGGCTCTCCAAATGAGCACAAGGCATACAGCCCACTTGTGCTTCTTCAGCTCATCATGCCTGCTCCACCATTCAATGAGGTCGTGGATGAACTGATTATCCTCAACTCCACATTCTTGCCTATTCCTCATAACCCTTGATCCCCTTGTAGATTAAAATGTCTGTACAGTCCTAGTTAATTCAGGGCACCGTTCCCAGCACAGCCTGTCCCACTGGAACAATTCCTTTCTAATTCAGGGCTGATGTCAGTGCTCCATGAACTGAAACTCACACCAATCTTTGAGCCATGTATGTAACATCTTGATTTTATTTACCCAAACCAGTTTGTCTGCAGCTCAGGCAGTAATCTGAGGCTCTGCTTTCTAGTCTGGCTCTTAACAGTTCAAAATCTATCAGCAGAACCTCCTTTCCAGTCCTATCAATGTCATTAATACTAATATGCACGAGGACAACCGAACCCTCCTCTCCCAATCCAAGTTGCTCCCCATTACCAAGGAGATGCCCTTAACCCTGGCATTGAGCTGCCAACACAGCCTTCAGGACTCCTGCTCGCAGCTGTAGAGAACGGTATCTATCTCCCTAATTACATTGTCTATTAATGAAACTATATTCCTATTTCCTCCCCACACTTGAACTGCTCCCAGTACCATGGTGCCATGATCAGTTCTCTCATCCTCCTTGCATCCTCCCTCTTATTCATGCAGCTTGCCAGAACTTTGTAACACTTGGGCAGTTGCAGGAATTGAGGCTTCTCAAATGCAAATGTTTGCCCTTCCTTTCCCTTTGAGGGAATATACCCATTGATTGTGATTGAACCATCTCATTTTCAAAGGTAACCCATTGTCCAGCTGCAGATTTTCCAAAAAAATATTCATTTCTGTTCATCCAGCCTTGTTCTGATCTTGTCCCATTGATCTCCCCAACTAAATATTCCTAGTCTCAATTGTTTTATCCACAATCATCCTAACTGATCATTGTCCCTACTTCCCTACTGATACTTCGTCCATCTTTTTGTAAGAACCAGTTCTAGCAGCATCTCCTTTCTTGTTGGACTTGACACATATTCCTGTAGAAAGTTCTCCTGAACACAATACAAGAACACTTGCCCTTCTCTGTCCTTAACATTATCACAGTTTATATTTGACTAATTATAAAGTTCCCAGTTGTAACTACCTTACAATGTTTGCATCTCTAATTTCTTTGCAGATTTGCTCCTCTACCTCCTTCCCAGTAGTTGATGGGCTGAAGAATATACCAAGTAATGTATGTGCATCTTTCTTGTTCCTTAGTTTGAGCCAAAACAATTTGGTGCTTGAACCCTTTGAAACATCCTCTTTCTCCACCACTGCAATAACTCTATCAAACACCACAATCCCTCTTCCTTTTGTATCACTCCTGAACAGCCTGTATCCAGGGATATTTAACACCCAGTCCTTGAACAGGTCTCCATTATTGCTACAACATCGTAACTCCACATGACAAATCTGTGCCAGCAGCTCCCCAATCATGATTATACTCCATACATTCTCATACATACAATGTAACCTTGATTTTAGAATGCTTTAATTTCTCCTTTACTGACTCCATCTATTAACTTACCAATCCTAGCACTGTCCTTCCCAGTGTTTTGTACAGCCTGATGCTACACTTTAATATTGGTTTCCTTTGCAGAGCTATTTAAAGCCTTCCCAACAGCAGTAGAAAATGGTCCACAAGGAACTCATTTAGTAACCACAATCTAACTGCCTTTTTTAAGTGTTACTTATCTATGGAATAAACTTGCCTCTTCCTATGTCACGGTTATGTGGGAGCATGGAATAATTCCAAACTAGACCACTTTTATTTATTTGCAAAACAATTGCTAGCAATCTAACAACGATACTTACATGAACAAAAAGAATTTGCATTCAACTAGTATTTGAAGCATTGTGTGTATCAATGGTCATTATTCAGGAAACCTTTTTGTCACGTTTGTGTTTGCATTTCTTGAAGGAAAAACATGGGCACAATAACTCAAGAATTCAAGGTTACAATCTTGTTTATCGCTGCTGAAAACACAAACTTGAACATGGCAGAAACAGCTCAGCTGGAAGCATTGTTGAAGCACATTGATCTGCTGGACACGTATATAACTTTCACAAAACTAATGTGTAGAAATTGCAATAGTTGGGTATAGCCCTTCAATAAAGTTAAAATAGTTTTCAACATGAATTTGTTTACTACCTGATGAATAAAAGAATGTGGGTTGGTTTGATTCATCAATTCACACAGGTCTAAGTGTATTTTTTAAATGATGAGAGTTTCTGTCTCTTTTTGGTAATCATTTGTAGAATCCTGCCATCTGCTACGTAAAAAGAAATTCCTCCTCCCTTAACCCTTCTTCAGTAATTCACCAAGGCTCTTTTGAAAGTGACTTCCAAACCCTTGACCAGCTTGAAGGACAAGAGCAGCAGACACATGGAACACCACTGCCTGTAAGCTCCATCTCCAAGATATGCACTGTGCAGATTTGGAATTATATTGTTGCTCCTTCACTATTGCTGGAGCAAAATCCTGAATCTCCCTTCTTGATAGCACTACAGTTATACACACACCCCTAAGAATGGAATGGTTCAAAAAGGCAGCTCACCATCACCTTCTCCTGGGTAATTAGGAATGGGCAATTGCTGCTGCAGCAATGTGCAGATTCCATGAATGAATGAACAAAATCAAATTATTGACAATCAACAAAAGCAAAACACAAAGCTCTTTGACATGGAATACTATATAGTCAGTACATTCATTTGCACATGAAAGTTTCCTATTGTAATGTTCTGTTAAGAGTTTTCTTTGGTCTGTGATCCTATGGGTGCCATCCACTGAGTTTCCACCGAGATGTGATGAAAACAATCACAATATTTGGGCCAAGCAGGGGGGCCACTATGGTTCAAACTGGTGGCATATTCACTTTCAAGTCCTTTCAAATCCTGATCTTGGAAGACTTTGTTTGGTTTATCTTCTCCATAATGATTTAGGTTCCTCAAACCCCATTTCACCTCGTGAGGCTGTAGGCACAACAGTCTGTTTGAACCTTTGAGCTAACTTTGGAGCAGTCCCTTCTTATATTGCTTGTTCTTTTCCTGTGTATAATATTGAGCCCCAAACTGTTTTATCTATCTGCTGCGATGCCATGTGACATATTTGTTTACCGGAGTAGTTTCATTCAGTTTTTTGCTGGTATCCCAAGTTTTGTCAGCCTAGGTGATAGCTCTGTTTACCTAGTCATTGCACTGACTCTGGTTTGATTGGTCTTCCTCTTTGAGGACTGACCACTTGATCCTGGTATTACCAGACAAACTGGGAGCTCTGAGTAGCAGATATACTTTCACCCATCTGGTGTCCCACTCGAAATTACCCAACCCTTCAGAGTAGCTAGCTTTTGAATGGACAGGCTGATGGCTAACTTTTAGGGTCAGGATCAGGTAAGAGTGGGTGGTCTTAGGGTGCGGTAGGTAGCTAATGCCTCAGGGGGTGATGGGAGAGCGAGAGTGAGAGCAAGAGCAACATGGCTGTAGGTGTAGGTGATTTGAAGAAGAGGCCAGTTGGGGAGGGAATGCTTCAGCTGGTGCTAGGTGACACTTAAAAATGCATCATTGACCTTAGTCACTCGTATGAGGTCATTGATTTTCTTGTATCACTACATCCATGGTCCTCAGGGCTTAACATTGACCTCGATGACAATCTGCTTCTGCAGCCCTTTGACCTTTGTGTCTGGAGTGACATCAACTCACCTGCACATGCAGAACAGCTCTGCTCAAGCTGAACTTTCCAAGCCTGTTGGAGACAGGATTCAAGGTTGGAAGGCTGGAAGAATGGGAGTGGGGTGTCATGCCTCATTAAGATGGCTATTTGATGCATTCCTGTCTTTCAGGGATCTTTCAGGAGGGAAAGAAAGTGCACAAGCCACTCCAACAAAGCAGGCAGTTAATAATGCTGCTTAAAAGGGCTCAATTGGAGGCTATTTCTGAGGGACACCAGATCTTCTTGTGATCCCCTCCACCCTACCCACCCCACCTACATATGTGGTGCCTGCCAACTCTTGGGAGCAGGTCAGTGAGTCATTGAAGGCAGAAGCTCAAGTTCCAGTAAAGACATCACCAAGCCACAAGACCACTGTTACCAAGTTCTGTAGCCTCCAGACTGATAGCCCTAGTTACTCTGGGTCTCTACAATCTAGCATGTTGATGCACACACACACTTGGCTCCGTGCTTCTGCAGCACAATCTTCCAATATGTCAACTGGTTAGACATTGCTGAAGGTCCTTGGATTAGACTTCCTGCTTTCCTGTCCACTTCCATTGGATGGAGGCAATTCATATCTGGCCGCTTCTGGGATGATTGTATTCAACGTCCTGTCATTGCCACTTCTGAATTCCAGAGCAAGAATTGAGGCCATCATTAGGATTACAGTCCAGATAGGAAACTACAGCTTAGTTATAGCCAACGAGGTCTACAGCATAGAAAAAGTCCCTTCAGCCCAACGAGATTACGTTAGTCAAAAACAATCACCAAACTATTGCAATCCCATTTTCCAGCACTTGACCCATAACCTCATATGCCTTTGCATTGCAAGTGTATATTTATATACTTATCATTAAAAGTTGTAAAGATTTCTGCCTCTATCATCCTTATGGGCAACAAGCTCCAAATTCCCATCTCCCTCAAAAACTATTTCTTCACATCCCCTCTAAACCTCCTGCTTCTTGCCTTAAATTTATGCCCCTGGTTATTGATCCCTTCACCTTTTCCTAAGGGGAAAGGTCTATCCTGCCCATGCTGTCTATGACCCTTATAATTTTACATATCTCAATCATGTTTCCCCTCACACTGCTCTTCTCCAATCTCTCTTCACAACTAAAACTCTCCAACCCAGGCTACGTTCTAGTTAATCTCCTCTGCACCCTCTCCTGTGCAATTACATCTCTCCTATAATGTAGATTCTAGAACTACACAATACTCTAGTTGTGGCCTAACCAATGCTTTATATAGTTCCAGCATCACCTCCCTGTTCTTAAACTCTATGCCACACCAAATAGAGACAAGTGTCCCATATGTCTTCTTAACCACTTTATTCAACTGTCCCACTACTTTAAGTGAACAGTGTACATGCACACCGAAGTCCCTCTGATCCTCACTACTCCCCAGGGTCCTTCTGTTTATCATGTATTCACTTGCCTTGTTTTTCATGCTCAAGTGTATAACCTCATAGTTATCCAGATTGTATGCCATTTGCCACTGATTAGCCCATTTAACCAACCTGTCTATATTCTCCTGTAATCTAAGGCTGTCCTCCTCGCTATTTAGCACTCCAATGTTTGTATCATCTGTGAACCTCCTACATTTAAGACTAAATTGTAGATATAAACCACAAACAGAAAGGGCGCCAGCACTAATCCCTGCAGAAGCCTACTGAGTCAATTCTGGATCCAATATGTCAAATATCCTTCAATCCCATGGGTTCTTACCTTTGCTATTGGCCTCCCATGCTGGACCTTATCAAAAGCCTTGCTTAACTCCAAGTAGAGCGCATCAAATGCATTGCCCTCATGTATATACCCTGTCACTTCTTTGAAAAATTTAATCAAGTTGGTCAGATATAACTTCCCTTAATGAAACCATTCTGATTCTTCTTCATTAATTTCACATCTCCAATTGCAGATCAATTCTGTCCTCAGAATTTTCTCCAATAGTTTCCCCACCTTTGAGGTTAGACTGACTGGCCTGTCGTTTTCCTGATCCCTTGCTCCCTGCTTGAATAATGGTATGCATATTATCTGTCCTCTGGCATCTCTCCTGGGGCCAGGGAGGAATTCAAAATGATTACCAATGTCCCCACTATTTCCTCGCTTACTTTTCTCTGGGATACATTTCATCTGGCGCTGAATATTTATCTATTTATAATCTGCCAGACCTCTCATAACCTCCTCTCTGTCTATTCTAATTCCTTTAAATATGTCACAGTGCTTCTCCCACATGGACAAAATGTATTAATTTAGAACGCTATCTATGTCCTCTGGCTCCACACACAAATTACTACCATGGTCCTTAATGGACTCTACTGTTTCCCAATGCTAACCTTTTACCCTGAATGTATTTGCAAAACATATTATGATTTTCCTTTATTATAAATTTCTATTCTTTCACGCCCCTTTTTATCTTCTAATTTTCCTTTTATTAAATGTCCTTTCTTGCACATTCTGTACTCCTCTACGAGCCTGCTGTCTTTGGTCAGACTCCTAGCATTGACATAAATAACATCCAATCTTGCCCAACTCCATTGTGCCTTAACTGGCCTATAATTATTATGCCTTCTTGACACATTCACTGTCTTTTCTAATTGGGCCCATTCATCTCCCCTTGCTGAACCTTCTCTCGGGATCCGATGTCCTAGCCAAGTTTGGTTTAAACCATTCACAACATCAATAGCAAACCTCCCGATAAGGCGCAACCTGAAAGCAGCTTCACCTTTTACCTCCTCCATTGAGATCTCCAGTACAGTGTGTGAAAATCTTGGAGCCCTTTTTTTTCAAGCGTATTTGTGTTCAGCTTTATTCTTGACAGATTAACCTCTTGCGTGACTCTCAATGCCTGTGACAGCTGCACTGTGCCTAATCTTTAAGAAGTGCATGCCAGCTTGAAGTGGTGTTAGAAAGCTATAATTTTGGGCCCTCTTCCAATGCTTATAGTCAATGAACACTGGAGTTAGTGCTGGCTGGAAACAGAAATCATAATAATAAGTAGGAAGCATGGAGTTGGCATATCACCACATTTCAATCAAGGGAAATGGATAATTGAGCATTGCAATCCCCATGTCTGTTTACAGATTAGCCCCTTAAAACTCTGGAGTGAATCTCTGGCTCTGTATATTGTATCAAGGGTAATTTCTATTTCAGTTATTAGTAACAACTGTGCCATTTCACATTAGACATTTTCAGGAAATTAGCTGTTACATTGGTGGTACTAATGCCAAGGATTATGAGGCACAAAACCCCTAAAACATGTTTGGCCAAATTTCAAAACAATGACATTCTGTCATGAGAGAAGAATAAAGGTACTTGTGAATTCCCAACAAAACTCTCCTGCCAATTTTGAATGTTCTTGTGAAATGCAATGGAGAACTAAGAACTCTCCCCTAATTGTGGTGAAATAATTGACTGTCGCATCTGTTCAGATGATGTGAACTTCAACAAGG